ATTCCCAGTTCCTGTGTCGAACAGAATGCCTGAACAGCTCTTTACTTGCAGAGAAGTTGCGGGTCTCTGCCCACAGCTGTGGCAACAACATTCTGCACAGGTGAGTCAGAGGAGCATGTCATCAACGTGGAACTGGAAGACAATAACTGCTGATTATCTGTGTCACTGTATGTGACTTCACTTCCTCCCCCTACCAACTGGAGGGAAGCGGTCGAGCTCTCAGCATGCAAGGTCAGAGAGTGACATCAGCTTCACCTGCCTTCGGAGACCACAGGACAGAAAGCGCTAATCCTGGACTCCTACCTTCTGACTGGAGTAACGGAAGGGAAATGAAGCTCCTCCCCAAACCCTAGAAAGGGTCTTAACACACGTTCTCACGTGGGGTTCAGCAACGACGGTACCGTTGATTGCAATAGATGGGGAAAATGGGTCTAAATAAGGGAAAATTGGTAGCCAAATAATTGGGGCAGATCAAACCAACTTGATATCCTCAACACACCGGGGGTGGCAACGATGGCAAGAGCACTGTGGAATGTGTGTCACCCCCTCCTCTCTGGGAGAGGCTTTGTCCCCAGGTGTAACAGTAACAGAGCCAGGAGATCTTTCACCCCCACTGCAATACCACTCACATACACTGCAAAGTAACTCTATGAATTGGCTTCATCACTCTGCTCTCTTCCCCACTGAGAGCTGGTGTGTGGGGAGCGTTCTGGCGCACTATGACTGCTGTCGCATCATCCAGGTGGGGCTGCACACTGGTGGTGGTGGAGGGGATCCCCATAACCTGTAAAGCGCTTGAGTGGAGTGTCCAGAAAAGCGCTATATAAGTGTAAGCAATTATTATTATTATTATTATTATTATTAACTCTCTTATCTCCTGGAACACCACTGTACTGTCTCCTCTGTTGGTACCATTTGTCTGTCCTTGTTGTATTGGACTGTGGCGTAAAACAAACTTCCCCCAGGAGATAATACAGCTGTGGCTGATTCACTGGACTGGACTGGCTGGGTGGCCACTACTGGGGCCCTGGGGTCAGGTCCTGAGGCTCTGTGTGTTTCTAGGTTCTCCCCGTGTTCATGCGAGTTTGCTCCAGGGCTCTGGTTTCCTCCCACAGTCCAGAGACATGCTGGGAGGTTAACTGGCTCTGGGGGAAAGTGGCCCCGGTGTGTCTGTGTGTTTCCTGCAAAGGGCTGCATCCTGCCTTCTGCCCACTGCGTGCTGTGATAGGCTCCAGCTCCCTCGTGACCCTGGGCTGGATGAAGTGGTTAGAAAATGGATGGATGAGTACAAAGACAGTTACTCCAGAAAACATGCCTTTCTTCACCTGATCCTTTATGTGCCTATTAACAAATTACAGCTCTTCACCTTTTCCAAACTGGCACTTCTGCACTGAGGGACATTTTCCTTTAGCGGACAGTTTGCCCATCCCTTCTCAGTCTGGGTTTGACATTCCTGCCATGAAAACAGAAATTTAAGCCAGTTGCTTCTGGACATCAGAGCAAGGAATATAAAAATAAATCCTAATAACGAAATTATATTACATATAATTACATTTTAAAAAAGTGTACATGATTCCAGTGAGGGGATGAATTCAAAACATTTCCCCAAAATGGAATAAGCAACAACTCACACAGGACCCTTAAGAGTACAGACAGAACAGTAAACCTGTAGAGGAACTCCAAATTCAAAGCCACTTACAGTAGCAACCTCTTTTTGAAAATACAACACCAACCAAGTCAACTCTTTTGGACAACAAATCCCTACTAGAAAACCAATACAGCCTTTGCACTGCAGAATTGTATAGCTCTGTAATGTAAAACATTTCTCCCCAAACCTTCACAGAATTACTAAATGCTGTTTGTTTCTAACAAAGGATAAAGGGCAGCTGAATGTTGTGGGGAATTTACATCTGCTTGGCTTTAAAATAGTTTAATTGTACCTTATTAAATATCAACCTAGGTATTATAGCTTGTTAACTGGACACTTAAAGCATTTATCAGTCTGCAGATATGAACAGAAATAAAAGATAATTATATTAACTAATGCAAATAAAATGTGACAGGATGCATATAAGTTCTATAGGTACCATATGCTGCAATTCCTGAAAATATGGGCAAAATGTAAAAAGAATCAGCATGCTTTTTCAAGCTAAAAATTATAATTGCTAACAACATGCAGGCACATTGGGCTAATGTACAATGTTAGACAAAGATATTAGCAAAAGCACATCAGATAAGAACCTTAAACTACTTCTTAGCATTTTCACGTGTATTTGATAACTCTTTGAACTTATTTTTAGTGTGCTGTGTACTGTACCATTCACACTTTTATTTTAGCTGGTAAGTCAATTGAAAATTAATTTATAATAACCTGGAAACCCAGTTATACAGCAGGGGATTTACTGGACCATTCCAAGCATTGCACTCGATTGTGAACCTACAGACATCCAGGCCAGATTCCCTAACGGACTCCAGGCAAAACACATTACTCTTTAAGGTCAGTCTCCCATTAAAATATTTGCTAGGATAGCCTTCACCTATCAGCCTCAGGATATAAAAAGAAGGCAAATACAAACCTGTTTGCCACAGACCTGAAGAGAAAAGGCAGAAAACAAAGGCAAAAAAATCCAGGTCTAAAGATGTTTCCTATTCATCAGTAACCGGAAATGAGGTTCTTGAAGAGCCAGGCATTTCTGGGTTTTGTTCTTTAACTGCTCAGGTTACAATTAACCCCATAATTTCTTAATGTGACAATTTCTGGAAGTCTTTTACAGCTGATTACTTAAAACATATGCTTCATTAAGATATGTTACCTCTAAAAGACAAGAAACCCTGGTTGGGAGTTTTGCAATTACACAGTTAACTGCAGTATTAGACCATCTGTCTAATAGAGAGCTCAGATAGAGCAAAAACCAGGCGACACTAGACTCTGCAGGAACTGGGACCCCCAAACTACAGCTTGGACTGAAGTGCGATTGAACGTGTTCTTTTCTGTGTACAAGCTGAATTCCACCATTCTGCTTGTTCACGACCTTTCATTTTGTCCTCTAGAGAGGGAGCAGAAAAGTGACATGGTAACTGAATTGTCCGAGACAGCATTTAAAGACACAGGAAACAGACATTTAACTTGTTGTTACCACTCAACTTGACTACAAACTGAAACACTTCAGTGAAAGACCAGCAGGGTGTTTCTGTTCCTTCCAAATTTACACAAAACTTGAAGGTCTTGAAGCATTTCCTGAATTGTTGCTGGTTTCTACATTTAGAGACCACCAGCTCTACCCCTTGTGGCTAAGGAGGTCTCATTCATGTTCCCACCTCAGTCTACACAACTGAGCCAATGAAAGAGTAATGGTTAATTAAGGGTCATCAAGGTTTTAGCTCCGGCTAAACACATCTAGAAAACAGGCACTGGAGAGTTCCAGGACGATGGCTGCATCCAGTGCAAGAAACAGCTTCTCCAATAGCCAGTCCAATTCCAGGAAAAGTGGGAGTGGGGACAATTTATACTGAATTCATGTTTGCAAACCCTGATGAAATTCACCATGCACATGCAGTTGTGTGGCAGGCAGGCGTTTCAGAGCCATATTGCTCTCTGCTAGCCTGGGCAAGCCATTGCCTGCCCACTGGTCTCCGAGCTCTAAATATCATATCATCCCAGCTCGTCCCAGCTATTCAATGGGGCTCAAGGCTGCCAAGCTGAGGGCATAGCTGTCACACTCTCTTCTGACAAGACAGCCGTTGTTACACAGGAGCAGCACGAGGAACGTTCGTCCTCCTGCTTGACTGTCGTCGGGTCAGGATGTGCCAACAGGAAAAGGAGTCACTGCTCATCACAGAAACCTGGCACATCGCTACAGAATACCAGGCTCTGCTGCTGGACAGTCCACCTGAGACTTTACCACACGAGGAGGTTACAACACCTGTGTCGGATCACCTCACTCACTCAGGAGGTGATTTAGGGCTTATGTAACAGTCAAAGCCACTCGTACTAAACATAAGAGAAGGATGCGTGTGTGTGACTATTCACCACCTGATAATTTTCTGAATCGATGACGATTGTTAAATGAACTCATTACGGGTTCCTGCTCAGCTGTGAGAGCCAGGGCGGACTGCCTGAACACAGCCCACAGAAACAAACCAGACAAACACGGGCTCCTGGGTCGGCCGCTCCGTCCGAGAAGAGATTCTCCTCTCAGAACTGACAAGAGAGAGTTAAGCTACATCATACGGGACAGTCGAAAATAACTCGCTCGCTGACAATTATGCGTAATCGTGGCCTCGGATGGAAAGCCTCCCTCATTCGTGTAACAATGAGAGAATTGCAAACAGTTCGAAACAAAACAACAGACTGGCTTTTCCAGTTAGAAACAGAAACAACAAGTTTAAACTGATACACACGCATTCCTATGCAGTACCCAGGTGTCTGTGCCACTTATAATACGTGTCCGGTTATATTTTGGAATCACCACACAGTTGTTTTTACTTTCATCAGTACCAAAGGCAGCTAAAGAAAATCAACTTTTGATAGAACAAGAAAGTTAATCGATTAATACGCATACACATTGCATGACACTCCATAGTCAGTGCAGCCAAATACTTTCTGTTCCCCGATTTGTTTAAGCCGCATTTTTTGCATATAAGTTCGAACTGTTAACTGCAGAGTGGTTAAACCTTAAACAACTAATCTACATCACGGGTCGCGCTTTCCACCTTTACTAACTTGACGAAGAGGCTTGGCCTTCGGGAACATTGCGTAACACCCAGTACCTCCCAAACGGGTAGAGGAAATGAACATTGTTTTTCTGAACCTCGATGAATTATAAATGACCTATGCCGGTTGGGGGTGAAAGAGACCGGTTGTGGGCGCCGCAAAAATTTAAAGGCAGTGTACAGTATGCGATTAAAGCGCGTACCGCACGGCTAAGCTACACGTTGTCCGTCACAAATGTCTAATTAGTCTGTGAAAATGTTGTTTGATTTCCGGTCCCGGGTCTCACCTTGGGCAGGTCGCGCAGCTGGTTGGCATCGAGAAGCAGCTCCTCCAGGCTGCGGCTGTAGCGGTAGATCTCATCGGGCACATAGAGCAGCGAGCAGTGCCGCTTGTCCAGCGACTCGACGTGACGGTTGCACCGCCACAGCGGGATACAATGAAACATCACGGGACGAGCCGAGCTCCAATTTAACTCAAACGAAAATACAACAACAACAAAAAAAATCACCGGCTTAAAAAAAAAAACCCCAACAACAACAACAATCAAAGACGCGAACTCTGCATGAGAGTGTTAAAGACCCTCCAACTCTCCCGTTTCAGCCTCCGCAGGGTTGTCTTCTCGTTAAGTTGTAACAGCAAGCAAACAACGCGCCCTCCTCCCGGGGATAAATAAACCGCACACAGTAACATGGACTGAAACCCCAGCTGGTCCGCCTTTTTTTTTCCCTTCCTCGCTCGCTTACTTTCTTATCTCCAAGCTCTTTTCCTGCCTGCGGGAAGGTCTGCGGACTGTAGGACAGCGGTGGGAAACAGCTCGCCGTCGGGTTACATCTCTGTTTCGGCCGTTTCGATTCCGAGTGTCTGTTTTTCTTTTTTAGTCCTCGCACTCGGGTTAATTTCCTCTCACTCCAGTTTCTGACCCGGAACAGTCACTCCCTCATTCCAGCTTGACGTCACCATTCCTGCCCGCTCCTCCCTTTGTTCCAGGCGGAGACCGGGAGCGGGGCACAAGGCTCGGGATCGCTTACTCTTGAGAACAGCTCGCTGGTCCTCAACCTCTGTTTAATTCTGCTGTTGTATTCCCCGGACAAGGTCTTCGTCTGCCCACTGTGGAACAGAGATAAATCCTTTTCGCAGGCGTTTCGTTAATGGTCCGTTTTCAGAGGTGTCCACGGTGTTGTAGTTTTCAAATTCATGCGGTGACATTGAAGAATTTCAGTTGTGACATCTGTAGTGTCATTTATTCAATTTTCAATACCAAACTCCAAACAAGCTATCAAAGTCATATTTTCAAAAGAAGTCCAGGTTGTCACTACTGGACGAAAATATGCTTTTGTGTGGTGCAACAATTTGTATAAAAGTGTATTTTTCAGTGATTTTTCTGTTTTAGTTAACACAGGAGCCGCAGAATTTTGAACACTGAAGCTTATTTGCAAACTCGATTGATAATGAAGTAAGTAAGGTGTTAGAGAGGTCCCGTTTTGATTCAGTAAGGACATATATCACTTTTTCACCATGGGTAAAAAGATACCCTTGTGACAAAAGTAATACCAAGCCTTTTCACTTTTATTAAATGTACCGTGGACAACGTCACTGACATTTCCAGCTTTGCAAACCTGATGTAAGGAACATGAGATTCCTAATGTAACCAAAACAGTATGCAAATACAAAGAAGTAAAGGGTCCCACCACAAAATCTTGTGGAATACCCTAAAAGAGGGACTTAAGGACCGATTTAAAAACCCCACAATTTCATAGCTGGCTCCAGTTAGGCAGATGGGAATCAAACCAACAAAGAGAAATACCAGAGACTCTTAGGTCATTTTTCCATGAATTTTCATGAATTCTGATAAGATCCTGTGATTGAAATCATTAAATGCTGCACTAAACCCAATGAGAACATTAAGTGACGCAGAGTCAGTGAATTAACTGCTTTAACAAGGGTTATTTGAGCACTAGAACTCAGACTCCACTCAGCCCATTAGGCCTACAGAGGTCTCATGAGCATTGTGCTTATCTGATTACTGGCAATCATGTGTCATATCTTTCGACAGTTTACCTATCGGTTATTGTACTATCAGCAAACAAAGTCTATCTTGAAGGGAATGTGCAGGCTGAGATGTCTTTTTCTCTACCTTTTGATCTCTGTTCATGCTGAGCTAGATTGTAGCACCATGTAATTGAATAGCTTTCATCCATGCATTTTCTAACCACTTCATCCAATTGAGGGTTACAGGAGAGCCGCAGCCTATCCCAGCAAGCAACGGGGGCAAAGTGGGATACGCCCTGGGCAGGAGGCCAGTCCATCGCAGGGCACATTCACCTCCCAGCTGGTCTTTGGACTGTAGGAGGAAACCGGAGCATCTAGAGGTCATCCACAAACACAAACGCCAAACAGACAGTGCCCCAGGTCCGGAATTGAACCCAGGGCCCCAGTGCTGTGAGGGAGCAATGCCAACAACTGTGCCACCCCGCCACCCCTTAATACCTTTCTTCATAAAGTAAAATCTTGTGGCGTACCTTAAGATCATAGTCCATTCTGTTCATGTGCAGCAAGTGTTATGGAAAGATTTAGTGCTACGTAACACTTCGCTATTGCAAAGTTATTAAGAAGACATGGTCAGACACCTCTTCCCGTTTTAAAAATCCTAATATTTACTCCCCATATCCATCTGGTGTGTAAAACCGCCTGTTCTTTGTATCGGTTTGTTGACATCAAATTCCCTGAAGCCACAAATTCCACTTCACAGTGATGGTGGATGGCTTCCCCAGTCACACGTCAGCCAGAATCAGAAATCTGGGAGTCACGCTTGATCCTCTCCTGTCTTTTGACCGTGCCTTCTCCGTCGCTGCTCCAGTGCTGCAGAATGAACTTCCTCAGACTCTTCAAGAACTTCTTTGACTCTCTTCAAATCCCAACCCAAAGCCTTCCTTCTTACCCAGGTCTTGTGTCCAATAGCCCTACTCTGTGAAAACCTGTATACTCATTTCTTTTTCTTCTTTCTTCTTTGCATGACCTTGGGTTCAGAAAGGCACTTTATAAAAAGAAGTTAGTGTTCGTGGCATGCAAGCCCTTTTCCCTGGTTTCTCTCATTTGAGTATATACAGTGCCTTGCGAAAGTATTCGGCCCCCTTGAACTTTTCAACCTTTTGCCACATTTCAGG